GAACATATTTCTGCCTTTTTCCCCCAACACAGCTATCGCATATTCTTTATCTCTGATGCATATGATTATGCAAAATTTTGAACAGCTTCTTCTTTAGGCTTTGATGCATACTCTACTTTGATATGATTATATAGCTATACATTATTTATTATGCTCCAGTATACTATTTCATGCTGAGTGAAAAATAGAGGAAAATAAAATATCTGCTCAATTATACTGAAATAAGAGGACAAACAAAACAAGATATGAGTAGACAGCTCAGAAAATTATTTCTATGGTGAATTTTTGTGTTCTTTTTATTGTTTTACTAGTTCATTCATTTAGTAGATATTGTTAGGAAACTGTGTTATTGGCCCTTGATACAAATGAGGGAGCATGTTATGATTCAAATATTCCAGTTACTATCATAATGATTTAAATGATTTATATTGTTAAGTGCTGAACACTTCAGACTACTTTTCACATTCATTTTTACATTTCATATGTAACACAGTGCACTGAAGTAGGGAGGGGACAGCCTTAGGAGAGTATCTTGAACCTAATAATCATCAATAAATTCAATAAATGTATGAGTTAGTCTTATTTTTATTGTTCTTTACAACCTGAGATTCAGGATATAATGATGTTAGTCTGGGCTTTTCATTTAAGTATATACAACATTGAGCAAGTTGGTTAAGTTCTTTGGTCTCAGCTCTTGTCTCTTTTTTTGACTGAACATTTTGGGTTGTCCTGAATTTGCAAGTTGACCATATTACATGGATAGACTCTGAAATTTACCTATCCTCCTTGTTCTTACTACCCAGTAGATGGTCAGTAAGTATTTTGGAAGACTAAATTAGTTGATGATTAGGGCATCCCCATTGTTGTCTGGAGCAGCTCTTGGCAATCTATCTGGGATAACTGGGCTTGAAATTTGATAGATATACCAGCACAGTACTTGGCACTGGGAAGTAAAAAATGTTGGTGGAGTCCAGTCCACATGGTTACTTTAAGATTTCTCTAAGAAATTCTGAACTGCTAAAGATTTTGTATTTTTCTTTTATGCCTTGGATTGAGAAAGTGGCTAGAGAAGTTGGTTTTGGACTTCGAGCATAAAATCAAATGTAGAAAGTGGACTGGACTATAGAAATGATCTTAATGTCCCTAAGATCTAGGAAATCGGACCCTCAGAACTTGTTGAGTGATTGCTGTCTTTTTTCTTTTTCTTTCTTTCTTTCTTTCTTTCTTTCTTTCTTTCTTTCTTTCTTTCTTTCTTTCTTTCTTTCTTTCTTTCTTTCTTTCTTCTTCCTTTCTTCCTTTCTTCCTTTTCTTTCTTTTTCTTTCTTCCTTTTCTTTCTTTTTCTTTCTTTCTTTCTTTCTTTTTTCTTTCTTTCTTTCCTTCTTTCTTTTTCTTTCTTTCTTTCTTCCTTTTTTTTTATTGATGCTGGTTTTCTTAGACTTCAACATAGATAGGAATTTGGATCAGTCTATAACTTCCTCTGGTCTCCAATTATCTGTCTTGGGTAGGGCAGTTCTTTTATATCAGTACAGTTCTTATATATTAGCTGTGGACAAGCCTCTGTTTAACTGCAACTTTTATTTCAATTGCCCATTTATATATTTTTCTTCACCACTGAAATTTAAGACCCATGATGAGAGTGATCATATCTCTCTGATGTGCTGCTTTATTCCTGGCACTTTCCCCAGTACCTGGTGATAGGAGCCACTCAGTAGGCAATTATTGGGTCAGTATAAACCAAGACTTTATAATAACCCTAGTTATGTGTCAAAGAGATTTCAGTATTGAAAGGAATGTTTAATTTTTTTTTTATGGGTGGGGAGGTAGAGACTCAGAATGATGACAATGTTCACCATGAAGAAAGAAATGTCATTGTCTTTGTTGGCAAAGCAAAGAACACATTTTCTTTACAAATACCCAGAGTATATAAAATTGGATTATTGGATTTCAGTTCTATGTTTTTAAGGATTCATAAAAGGAAAACCAACAAAACAGGGCTGAACCAGCAAAATATGAGACAATTTTAATTGGTAGTTAAGGAAGTGTGTTGGGAGCATTACAGAAGAGGGAAGGGAGCTGGTACTGGTTGAGGATTAGCTGAGGAAGCCAAGGGCATTTACAACATGATTTTGGCTGACACAGCAGACACAGCTTGAACCAAAGTCAAGGACAGGGGAGGGAGGCAGGGGCTTCGAGAAATTGCTGTACAGACCTCCAGGCTGCTACTGACAGGGAGATCAAGACATGTTTTTACTGATAAGCAGGGCCAATGCAAAGGTCAGAACTTTGATCATGAGAAATTTTAATTACTCAGATATTGATCAGAACACCTAGAAACCAACTACAGAAGGGAGAGTTTGAGAACAGAGCTGGGTTTCTTAGATTCACACTGGGGGACCTGATTGCTCCTCTTAGCTGTGGGCAGTGGCTATTCTAAATGCATCCTAGGAAAAAAGCCAACTATGATAATGGGTTCGACTTTGGGGAATGGAAATGACTGCAATATTATTAGACTTTAAATGCTAAGTGGAAGAAACATTAAAGGAAGTTGATTTTGAAGGAACGTGTGGAAAGCCCTAAGGACCTTTGATGGAAATTTTATAATGTAAAGGGGAAGAAGAGAAGAATATTTAAAGGTGAATTTAAGTGCTTCTTCAAAATCAATAAAGAAAATTAAACCTCCTTAAGGATCTCAGACCAATAATACAGTCTCAGAGCCAGGATCTCCCCCATATATCAGGTATCTCTCTGGCCTTTGAAAAATTGCTTTTTGTGACTTTACAAGTGTCTGGGTGAGAGAATGGGCTTTTATTTGGACTTTGGTTTTAGTGGGTACTATCATGTCAACAATGATGCTCTAATTAATGTTCTCAAAATCTTTCACCTGGACTTTGTAATGCCCCCACAACTATGCTCTCTTCTCCATGCCTTGTCTCCCTTCAAATTATCTTATGTAAAACCCAGAATGCTCTTTTTAAAAGATATATTTGATAGTTTCATCCTTTGGTGAGCTCTCATTTTCTTGTATGGGAAAAATAATTATCTAAAATTTGTTCCTAACTTATTTTATCTCAGTGTTGGCTGCCCTGCTCTTATAGGAATGCTGCACTCTAGCCATTCCTAAATCCATTTTATTTTGGAATAATCTTTTTTAAAAAAAAATCTTTTTACTTTAGAATAATCTTGGATTTACAGAAAATTTGCAAAGGTAGAATAGAGTTTACATATACTCCCACCCATTTTTTTCTATACTTAACATTCTGCATTACCATGGTATATCTTAAAACAAGGAATATTAGTACATTACTAGTAATTGAAATCTATTCTTCAGGAATCTTTTACCAATTCCTCCCTTAATATCATTTTTCTGTTCCAGGATCCCATTCAGGATACCACATCACATGTAATCATCATGTCTCCTTATTCTCCTCTGGTATTTAATGGTTTCTCAGATTTTCCTTGTTTTTTTATGGTCTTGAGAATTTTGAGGAGTAATGGTCAGACATTTTGTAGAATGTCTGTCAGTTGGATTTGTTTGATGTTTTTGTTTATGATTTTACTGGAATTAGGGGGTTTTGTGAAGAATACCCATGGAGGTGAAATTTTTTTCCATCATATTATATCAAGAGGAACATGGTATCAATATGACTTACCTCTGTGATATTAACCTTGACCTGTTGGTTTGCCAGGTTTCTGCACTATAATGTTAATAGTTTTCCCTTTCTATATTCTTTGGAACTGAGTCACTAAGTCAGCCTGCATTTAAGGATGAGAGGAGGATTGAGCTCCTCCTCCTAGAGGGAACAGCATCAACATATATTATGAGGAATTTTTCTGCAAGGGTGATGCATCTCTTTTACCATAATTGTTTTTTTGTCTGTATGGCCTTAGGAATATTCACTTTATGCTTCAGGGGACAATCCAATACTACATTATTTATTTCGTTGCTCCCTGTGTTCCAGCTTTGGCCATTGTGAGCTTGAAATGGCCCCAATTTTTTAATACCTGGATTAGTAAGGACTCTTTAGCTACCAGTAATGAAACCAGTTCAAGCCTTCTTAAGCCAGAAAGTTTATTATAAGGACATAGGTGCATCTTCTAGAACCTTTGAGCTAGATTACAACTGGGTCTCAAGAAGACTGACCTGTATATTTGGAAGGTGCTCAGGATGTGTACTTTTCTCTTCTGCTTTACTGTCTTACTGTGTCTAGTTCATTTTTTTTCCCTCTGTAACCTCAGGCTACATAGTGGGACACAACTGCTATTTCAGACCTACTGACTTCTTGTGTTAAAGTTACTGCCATATATGGAGAGTGATTTGACTTTTTTAAGGTTCCACATCAAATTTATTTGGAAAAACAATTGTATTTGCCTAATTTAGGTTAATTGGTCCAAGAATGTATGGTCACGTGTATGGTGTGGGTCATGAAGTGCAGACTTGGCTCTGGGGATTTACACCTGTCTCAATATCATAGATGGGAAAGATATTTCCCAAAGGATAGTAGGTTGCTTTCAGCTTGCCAGACACCCCTAGAGCATCCTCTGTAAACATATGTGGTCTTATGAATGCTGCCTCCTCTACTTTAAATGCACCTTTATCTTTGGTCTGTACAGAAAGCTCTACCTGAAGCATGTCTTCAAGGATATTATCTCTGCCCAACTACTCCTCTTAGTTATATTCTCCTGTGATCAACTACATCATTTTATTAATAATGAATACACTCCTACAGTATCTATTCACATATTTTTTCTCAATGTTCTAAGCCTTTTGAGAAAGTTTTCTTGTGTAGTTTATCTTAACATCTCTAAGATCTATACAGTCTGTGACACATTATAGTTTCAGTAAGTGGATTTTGGATGAATAAATAAAAATATATTAGTAGGATATGTATTAAGTTATGGTAGGGCTGAGGACACTGAAATTAAAGTGCAAAACTAATGAATTTTAGTTAAAAACATTAATACTTGCTGATAAAACCATTAAAAAGATAATTTTCTTTCAGCCACTCCCCACAAAGAAGCCCTAGAGAAAAGGATGCCTTAAAAGAAAACCACAGAAGAAAACCTTCAGTAATGGGAAGAATTGGGGAGATTGAAAAGCAAGTAAGCTGAAAAAATTTTTAAGAGATAAGTGGAAGTGAAAAAAAAACAGTATTAATTTTCAGGGTTTAATTCAATCAGCAAGAAAGGATTTCTTAAATGTATTTGTAGGAGACAGATGGTAAAGAGAAAATTGGTGTGCTGAAAAATGAGAACAGGGAATTAGAGACATAGGCTAAGCAAAGGGAAATGTGTTCAACAGTTGCATTTTGCTTTGGTCTTTACAAATCTAAGGGGAGATAAGGAATCACTTAGAATAGAAACCATAGTTCTGTTTTAAAGTAGACAAGCCACAGTCAAGGATGAGTACATGACTAAGAAGAGGAAGGCAGTTCAGACTACAAACTCTGTCTAGGCTTGCTGAATTCATGATGGAAGTCCTCATCTCATACTTGGTCTTGTCTGGTTTCGGAGTTTTCAGTCACCTACAAATAATCCAGGGTTTTAGGAACCCCACTTGGAATTCTCAACCTACTATTACTGTACTTGGACAAAAAGAGTACAGATTGATAAATCAAAGAGAAGAATTAGAATTCTGGCCTTGTGTTGGAGATAAGAATTTGGATTACAGTAGCATGTCATTTTAAATTAAAACTTGGACAGTAGAAGTAGTTAACAAAATCATATGTAGTAAAATGAGCAATAGGCCAAGAAAGATTAAGGAGAATACGTGCACTTAAGGAATGGAAAAAGCAGAAGGGATCCATAAAAAGAGATTAAAAAAGAATGGTCCAGAAGGTGAGAGGAGAATAAGGAATGTCACAAAGAGAGGAGACCGTTTCAAGTAGAAGAAAGTGGTCACTGAATCAAATGCTGCAGATTAAGCAAGGCTGGGTTTTTAAAAAGTCCTTTGAATTAAATATTATATCCATTTATAGAATATTATTTTGAATTATCTTTCTAAGAGATACATGACTTTCCTTTGACTTTTATTATTTAGATTTTTATTGAAATAGTCTACATTTTCTAAGGCCCAAACAACAATATGTTTGATATGGAGTTGCTCTGATAACATTATCTTTTAAATAACATTATATTTTTAAGCCTTGTAACATAGTTTTGCTACTTTATTTTTTTTCAATATTACTACCAAGTACCACTTCTTAAGAAGACAAACTGGTGATACTATATGATTCTTCTCCTAAGCCCTGCTTCAAAGAAAACCATTATTGGTGGTGATTTTGTTCTTTAGGAGGATGACTTTTGTAGAGAAGCAATTTAGATTTTGCATAGAGAAATTTTTTAATTTAAATCTCAGTTCTGTCATTTCATATCTATCGGTTCTTGGACAAGTTGGACAAGTCATTTTATCTATCAGAGGCTTATTTTTCTCATTTGTACATCTAGAAAGTGGGTCTAATAATATCTGTGTCATAGAATGCTCTAAAGATAGATGTGAAAGGAGTGTACAATGGAGGATACTAGTTTCTTTTTGTGATGTGAGCTTATATTTAATTATGTTTAGTTCAAATGAAATGACTTTTGAACAGATTAATTTTCTCTAGGTTAAAAGGTGAGGCTCAGTCTGTGGATCTAGAAGAAGTCAGTGTCTTTCCATATTCTTATATTAGCCCAAAGCAGTCCCTATACTAAACCATTCATCTTGGGTAAATAGCAACTTAAGGTCATTTTCTTATTTTGTGCGTGGTCTCTGCAGATTTCCAATTATACTTACATAAATACATTAGGCTCTCCCCAATTAAGTGATATCTTGTTCTATAGTTAGTCTACTGGAAACATTGAATACCAGAAATTGAAATGTTTTTGAATTGTCATTTCTGCAGGGTTCCCGAGAAACAGTGGGGATATTCAGGCAAATACATGATTTGACTTTCATTGCCTCAGGCTTTGCTTTCACCATCTGTCATTTACTGTCAGAGTAAACTTGTTGATCATCTTCAGGAAAAGGAAGGTCAAAAGTCACCTGCCTCAGGCAGAGCCTTGATTATATTATTACATACCTGAAACTTTATCACTGACTTCCTGACTCCATATTCACACCAGATACCAGAATCTTGACTGCAGTAAATGATGGATTTCTTCATTTATTTTGCAATCTCAAATTTGGTGACCTGTTACCTGCAGGACTGTAAGTTCTTTTATAACACTGTCTCCTATAGAAAACTCTCTCTGACTTAATTGCCCAACTCTGCTCCTCTACTTCCCCAGAAAGTTTGATTGAGTGCCTCTGAGTCTCCTCTGCATACCCCCTCACAGCACTTACTCATCCTATTGTACTTCATATATTTCCATGACTCTCTCCTTCGCTACCTCTGTTAGCCTTGGGGGAAGGTGTTATCTTTATAACCTATATGTCTATATCCCTATGTTCAAAATATACCTGCATTGGAGTAGGTGTGCATTAAATATCAGTTGAATAACTCAGTGAATGGACAGAGTCATTATTTGACTTCTGATTCTATGATATTTAATATTTCTATGATTCCACAATTCTCATTTATAATGCAGGCATCAACAGGAATACTTCATCTTTTACTCTTTTGGTTCGACAGTAGCCTTTGCCTTTTTCTGTTTTCAACATACTTTGGAAACATATGCTCATTTTCATATTACTCTGAAACCATGTTAGGATACTTGTATACTAGAATCATCAGTGTTTTTGCCCAGCTTCTAAAAGAATCCACTTGGGAAGAGGGCATTTGAAGGTTGAAGATTCAAATCAAATGTTACCTTCTTCTTCTATAAAACTTTTCTTGACTTTCCGGAAGTGCTAGATCACTAATGAACTTCCTTCATTCTGTCTTACAGAACTCAACTGGTGATGGTTTAATTCATCCATTTATAGGGAAGACAGAGACTGAGAGCTTCCAGAACAATATCTTTCTTATCCATATTTTGTTCCTTTTGCCTGGCTGAGTGTCACCTGCTATGACTTTGCACATATTATTCCCTCTGAATAGAACACTGTATTCAAAACACCGTACCATTACCACCTCTTGCCCTATTCCAGTGCTAATCAAACACATACTTCACTGAGTAACCCCTAAATATCCTTTCAATTTTAGCTTTTTCCTACTTTCAGAGATGTCCCACATAGTTGGGTTTATTGTATTGTGTTTGAATTTTCACTTTACTTTTTCATACTAAGAAAGAGGCACAAAGAAGAACAAGAGCTATCTAAGGTCAAGAACAGTGTCTTGTTCTTCTTTGTGCCTCTCATGCTTAGTTTAAGCCTGAGATAATACATAATACATGATGAATACATGATGAATACAAATATTTTTAAAATAAATATACCACTGTGCCATTCTTCTGGGCATGTATTTAGTCATTATTGGCCAGGGAGTGAATCCTTCTGGCCAATTTTACATGCTAGTATCTATACCTAAACTTCATTAAGTGAGTTCATTGCTGTGGAGATATTTAGAGAGACTTTATAGCTATTGTCTTGAGTTAAGATTCAGTGAGTAATAATGGGAACATAATAGTTACACATTACATGACTGCTATTGATTGGGTTTCAGGAGAAAGTTTATTAACCTTAGCATTTCCTGTGGCAGAAGAGTGGATTTGTAGATTTGTATTTCTCTGGGGGGAATGACTCAGCTTACAGAAATTTAGTTCCAGGAACTTTAAGTAAAAAAGGTACAATTGTAAAATGCCATGCGGACTGTGTCTATTGTGTCAATGATTTTTTTGGTGGCAGCCTGAGAAGTATCAAATGTTACCTGTGTTATGAGTAGAAGCTCCTAAATAGCAGTGTTGAGTGTTTCTTATTTTCTATAGATCACCTGTTTCTTTATAATCAAGCTCTCCATCCACTGAAACAAGGTGCCATTATATTCAGCTTCCTATTGATTATTATTGTTTTGACGAGCTCCTCAGGGAAAATATTAGTTAGTATAATTGTGAGTGATAATACTTTTTATTTATTTAGTTTATTGTGTTCAGTTAGCCACTGTATAGTACATAGTTTTTGATGTAGTGTTTTATGATTCATTAGTTAAGTATAACACCCAGTGCTCATCACACCACATGCCTTCCTCAATACCCATCACCCTGTTTTTAGAGTTAACTCCTCCGTGACTCATTTTCTATGCCAGTCTACCTGAACTCTCCTTTTTCTTTTCTTTGTCTCTCACTTTATTCCTTCCTTATACCTATCTTTGTTGAGTTTCTATCATATGTAGGCCCTTCTTGCAACACTGGAGACAGAAAAAATTAAAACCCAAATGCTATCTTCAAAAAATTTTAAGGTGTTATGTAAGTAAACAAATAATTTCAACACAGTTCAAGAAATTTTGACGGAGATGTACAAAATATTGAGGGTGAAAAAATAATTCAACCCAGCTGAGATGGAGAGAGATCAACAACATTCCTCCACCAAAAAACTCATATACAAATAAATAACAACAAAAACAAGGATGCTTGGTGGAAATGATCGAATAGTAGTTCACTAGGGTTGAGAAAATAGGGCATCTTAAGAAGGAATCACACTTTTCTATAGGGAATCACATAGACTTTTAGGGGAAGTATGGATCTGTGCTGTCCAATATGGTGGCTAATAACCACATGTGGCTATTCAAATTTTAATGAATTAACATTAAATAAAATTACAAATTCACATTTTCAGTTACACAAAGCACATTCCAAATGCTCAATAGCCACATGATGCTATAATATTGGACAATATAGAGAACTTTTCTTTTTTTTAAGATTTTATTTATTTATTTGAGAGAGAGAGAGAGAGAGCAGGAGTGGGAGAGAGAAGCAGAACTCCCTGCTGAGCAGGGAAGCTGACACGGGACTCGATCCCAAGACCCTGAGATCATGACCTGAGCTGAAGGCAAGATGCTTAACGAACTGAGCCACCCAGGTGCCCTTGGTATAGAACTTTTCTAACACCAAAGGAAATTCCATCAGTTAGCAGTGGTCTGAATTTTAATAATTATGCTAAGGGTAGAGGGCATATTTTGGAGAAATGACTTATAATTCAGATTGTTTTGTGAGAGAGAAGCTAAGATAAATGATAGTAATTACAT